AGATGGATGCACCTTCCAGCTTCTTCTTCAGCCTGGAGAGGAAGCACGGGCAGAGAAAACTCATCCACTCTCTGTTGTCGGACACCGGGCAGCAGCTGAGCGAGCCGAGCCAGATCAGGAGGAGGGCTGTGGAGTTTTACTCCTCGTTATTCAAAAGCGAATACGAGAGGAACAACGAGCTGTTCAGGGAGTTCTGCAGTGGACTACCCCAGGTCTCTGAGAAGACTAACGCTGACCTGGAGCGCCCCCTTGGGCTTCAGGAGCTCCACACAGCCCTCCAAAACATGCAAGGCCAGAAAGCTCCCGGCGTCGACGGACTCACTGTGGAGTTCTATAAGGCCTACTGGGACATCTTGGCAGAGGATCTGCTCCATGTCTTCAGTGAAAGCCTGACCACTGGTTTGCTCCCACTGTCGTGCCGCAGAGCGGTCGTCACCCTCCTGCCCAAAAAAGGGAACCTGCAGGAGATGAAGAATTAGCGCCCTTCTCTGCACCGACTACAAAATCCTCTCCAAGGTCCTGGCAACCAGGATGAGAGAAGCAGGTCATCCATCGAGACCAGACTTATTACATCCCCAGCAGGTCCATGGTAGATATCTACCTGATTAAACATGTTTTGGAAGTCTCCAGTTCATTGGGTCTGAACACAGCGTTGGTCTCACTTGACACAGAAAAGGCTTTCGACCGCGTTGAGCACAGCTTCCTCTGGGAAATCATGGAGCGCTGGTTTTATAGCCTAGATCCAGGTGCTGTACAGTAACATTGAGAGTGTGCTGAAAGCCAACGGTAGCCTGTGTGCTCCTTTTAGGGTGTATAGAGGTGTTCGGCAGGGCTGTGCGCTCTATGGAATGCTCTATGCGCTCTCCCTGGAACCCCTCCTTAAAAAGATCAGTTCAAGTGTTCGTGGTTTAGTTTTACCTGGTTTTAACAGTAACATAATTTTATCCGCCTACGCTGATGACGTAGTTGTTTTTATAAAAACCAACAAGATGCCGACACGCTAAGTGAGCTCACCGAGAGTTTTTCCACCCTGGCTGCTGCGAGGTTGAACTGGGTAAAGAGCACAGCCTTTGCCGTGGGTGAGTGGCCTGAAGGGCTCCCATTTCTCCCTCAAAACCTCCCGTGGAAGAGAGACGGGCTTAAATACCTCGGCATCCATCTAGGGGATGAAGCTCAAGTGCAAAAGAACTGGGAAAATGTGGAACAAAAGGTCAGGAGCAAATTAGAAAAATGGAAATGGCTACACACTCAAATGTCCTACAGAGGCAGAGTGTTGGTTTTAAACAACCTGGTCGCATCACAACTGTGGCACAAACTCTGTGTTTTAGACCCACCTCCAGGCCTGTTGGTAAAGATCCAGTCTGAGATGGTGGAGCTCTTTTGGAAAGGTCGACATAGGGTGCCACAGTCTGTGCTGTTTTTACCGAGAGAGGAGGGGGGACAGGGCCTTGTCCACCTGGCCAGCAGAACGGCAACGTTTCGATTACAGTTCCTCCAGAAATACCTGGCGGGACCTCCTGACAATGTGTGGAGGGACGTGGCCAGCTGCATTCTTAGATGCGCGAGCGGGTTGGGGCTGGATGCTGCTCTGTTTCTGACCAATGTTAGCCTTTTAAAGTTAAAGGGGTTACCCCAGTTTTACCAGAGTGTTTTTAAATTGTTTTCCTTTTTTAACCCAAACAGATCAAGAACGTATAAGTCTCTGCATTGGCTTTTAGAGGAACCACTAATCTGTGGTGCAAGGCTAGACGTGTCCGATAGCACGGTACCAGGTCTGTCAGGGGTGCTGTGCGGGTCTGGGACGGTGACTCTGAGGCGGCTGGTGGAGACGGCCGGTCCGGACTTCTCCAGCGCCCGGGAGGTGCTTTCGCTGCTTGGAGTCCGGTCTGCCAGGCTGGTGCGGCGCTTCCTGGACCGGGTGAAGGAGAGGATCACAGCAGGGGAGGAGTGTCTCCTGCAGCTGTGGTCCGGGGGAGATCACCTGCCTGACCCAACGGACCCCTTCCCAGACATCAACCTAGATCCCAACTTCCCAGACAGTAGTGGACCTCTGCTGTGCAACACGGACCCACAAATAGACTTGTGCACAACAGGTCCAAAAGTGCTCTATTAGACTTGTGTTAAAGTCCTAAACAAGAGAACTCTGCACAACAGAGCTGTCAGTGTGTGGGACGGCAAGTTTGGAGGACAGAAGCCCCAGTGGAGGACGCTTTACAAACCTCCCATAAAAAAAACGGACTGGTGACCTCCAATGGAGGATACTTCACGGCGCCATCACAACGAACTCTTTCCTATCGATCATCAGTCCTGAGGTTTTAAACGAGTGTCCTTTTTGCAGTTTGTCCGAGAGTGTTTTTCATGTTTTTATGGATTGTGTACGACTGACTGCTCTTTTTAACTTAATGACGAGGAGTTTTAGCTTTTTTGATACCGTTTTTACCAAATCTGTTTTTATTAATTGTGTATATTACAACAAAGCTACTAAATGCAAATCCAGAATTATAAACTTTTTAATTGCCGAAGCCAAAATGGCAATGTATTTATCTCGCAGAGACACACTGCAGGCTGGACCTCAATTTGACGCCGTGTCTCTGTGGAAGTGCAACATCAAGGCCAGACTGGCGTTGGAGTTTTGCTTCCACAGAGACACCGGAGACTTGAACAAGTTTGTGGAACTGTGGGGCTTTAAAAAGGTTTTATGTACAGTTTCTGACAAAGGAGAACTAAAATACAACAACCTCCTCATGTGAACACTGTTAAAAAGTACAAAACCTTAACATGATCATGTTTTTAACACTGTTTTATTAA